AGAGGACAGGTGAATTCCAACATCTGCTTCTGCAATCCAACTTTGGTTGAAGCAAACATGAAGAAAATCTGACCTCACACTGATAGGCAGTTGGAAAAGGCAGTATTTTATTAGGCAAATGTTATCTTAGTATTTTTCTGAAAATAGCTGTGACCTCACAGACCGCCCAATAGCTTTGATCTCACACACTCCCCAGTAGAGTCTAAGGGAAATCTAGAGGTTCTGGAAAGACACTTTGAGAACCACTGATCTAAAACATCCCTTTCAATGCTAACATTCAAGAGATGGGAGTGAAGAGGAAAAAGTTCAGTATCGCCTCATTCCTACATGCCTTTCCTGACTCCTCTGATAAACTTTTTAATTGATTTTGTATATGCCATATTCTCTGAAAGAATATAAGCTGCTTAAGGGCAGGGACTGTCTCATTTTTGTCTCTATATCTCTGGTATCATTATGAATGGTAAAGAAGAAATGCTTAGGATCATTCATTTTTAGAGTAGAAGTGGCCTCTTAAGAGGCGATCTAGTCCAATCATAATCATTTAACAGATGAGGAATTAACGCCCAGAGAAGTTAAGTGATTTGCCCAACGTGACAAAGACAGTAAACAGAAGAGCCAGGCTTCAAACTTGATGTCATTCCGAGATCACACTGGCCAATATGTAATAAATGCTTTTTTACATTGAACTGTTTAGTCACTAGCCCACATTGGTTCTGAAATGTGAGCGAATCCATGGCAGAAAGGGGTCAAGAGACCAGATAAAGAGAGAGTCAACTTGGTGAGAGATGGGCTGAAGACAGGTGCTTATGTCCAATCTACATAATCACTCAAGCATGGCGCCTTATATTTTGACAAGTTTATTATTAATCAGTATATTCTACACTAGCTCTCAGCTAGCTTTCTAACTGGTCCACAGTCAAAAGAACTATGGTGAGCAGAACCAGGAGAATGTTTTACACAGTAACAGCCATACTGTGTGATGACTAACTTTGATAGACTTAGCTCTTCTCAGCAATGCAAGGATCTAAGACATCTCCAAAGATCTCATTGTAGAAAATGCTATCCACATCCAAAGAAAGAACTATGGAGTTTGAATGAAGATCAAAGCATACTACTTGCTATTTTTTTCTTCTGTTTTGTTTTGTTTTCTCTTTCTTGTGGTTTCTCCTATTGGTTCTAATTCTTCCTTACAACATCACTAATGTGAAAATATGTTTCATTGGAATGTATACGTATAGCCTATATCAAATTCTGCACCACCTTGGGGTGGGGCGGAAGAAGGGGAGAAAAATTTTAAACTCAGAAGCTTATGGAGGGGCAGCTAGGTGGCACAGTGGATGAAGCACTGGCCTTGTAGTCAGGAGTTACTGAGTTCACATTCGGCTTCAGACCAAACACTTGACACTTACTAGCTGTGTGACCCTGGGCAAGTCACTTAATCCCAATTGCCTTAAAAAAAAAAAGCTTATGGAAGTGATGGTTGACAAATTAAATTTAAAAAAAAAAAGAACTATGAAATCCCCTCTTTCAATCTCAACCTTTCAGTAAAATCCAGAATTTCTGGTTGAGCCAATAAAACTAGTGTTTCATAATTTTACCTAGACATTACAAAATTAAGCATAAATGGCCATTGTTGGATTTTGTATTATTAAAAACTGTACCTATGACATGTAATTTTTAAATCCCAGAAATTAAAAAAAAAAACACCAACAATGTTCCTTTGCTGACACACACTTGCTTTCACAGTCAATTTATGAACAGGCCAATCTCCCTTTCCTCCACATTCAGGAACTGACCCTGAATTAAAAAGAATTAAATGTATGCTTTATGCAACATCAAACAAAGCTGTGCTAGTGCTGACCTGACAATATTTTTAGATAATAATCCATGACACCTAATCAAGTTGACTATCATGTTTCCACTGCAGAATGGAAAATGGTAGTATCACTTTGCCAGCATTGGGGGATGCTCCACAAAAATCATTTACTATGCAAAAACCCTGACAAGAAGCAAACGATCCACTTAAAAAGGTTGGTTAAAATGGCAATATATTAATGAACAGGCTTCCTCTCCTCCCCTTCCCTCCATCTGAGGAAGAGCATGGGCACTTAAGGAATGCTTGACTTGTCTTTGTCTTGTAGAGTTTGCTTACCTCTACACTAGAACATTTTACAATTTCATCACCACTCAAAGAATCTGATTCCTAACCTGGCATATCCACTGTTTATCAGAAGTATTCTCTCAACCTGAATTCTGAGCCAGCATTTGGGGAAAGCAAGAAAATTTGGGCCCCTCAAAACATTCAAGGCCTCTCTAGACAGAGTTAGGGAACTGCTATACCAGAAAATTATTATATACTTTCTTTACCTATCAAGAGAAAAAATGGGAACTGATTACACTCAAGGAGCTCAGGATACTGTGACAGATTTTTTTTTAATAGTGGGAGAGGGGGAATAAAGATAACAGGACTTCTAAAGGAAAAGACTTTCTACACAAAAGGGAGCCAATTTATAAAGTAACAAGCAAAAAGAATCAAACACTTGGTGATACTCTGCCAACATTTGAGCAGTAAATCCTGCACAGTCAAAGCATGACAGAGTGCTTCACATTTTGAGAAATGTTTCTCCACTATCATTCTAAACCTATCATGTCTAAAAGTAAAAGTTATTATACTGTCACAGTATTTTTCATATTTAAAGCCTACATTATTTAACAAAGCTGTAACCAATAAGTCTTTTTTTTATGAGCAATATATTAGAATAAACTTTAGTTTTCAAAAACCACTTGCAACCAATTCAGGGAAAAGTGTCACAATAGGACATAGCATATTGTTTCCCTTACAACTCATTTTGATGTGGAAATCATTCAACTCTGATTTAAGTGAATGGAATTCTGTATTTATGTATAATCCACCCACTTTCTTTAATGGGACCTTAGCAGGGAAGAAAGACTTTTACCTGAAATGACTCTAAGCCCTCTAAAATATAATGAAGCACACTGAAAGCCACACTGTATAAAATGGAATAGTATTATTTTTTATTCTTAGCAGTTGTCAGTGTTTTTGGAATGCAAAAATTGAAACTGGACCATTATACATTCTCTGAAAAATGAACAAAGATTTTTTTTTCTAAAAGGTGCTACCTCCATCAATTGAGATAAACCTGCATAGGGATTATCTCTGATCATCTCAGAGATGCAAAAATCTCCTTTTTCATGGGCAGAATTAATTACAGGCTGTTTTTTTTTTCATGAGGCAAACCATCATGCAACAGTTTTGTCATTTGACTAAGAATACCGGTTGTCCTAATCAAATATCCAGGCCCTAGGGATTTTAATCAGCTATAAGAGATAAACTATTTCCTTCATAAATATCACATAAAACCAGAAAATAATCCTATTCCATGAAGAACTACAGTATTTGGAATGTTAACACTACAAAATAAAAAAGGCGTCTTTTATTATTTCATTTCAAACCTCTGGTATTAATGATGAAATAAAATGACACTCATGTAGCCTCTAAGCATTGCTACGCTTAACAACTATAGTTCAATACTTTCATGACAATGGATCCACAGAAACATCTAGGATTCAAGTACCCAATTATGTGGAAAAGTTTTTAATGTATCACTACATAGGTAGTACATTATTATTAAATATAAAAATAGGCAACAATAGTGGGCACATAGGTTTGTCCCTTGGACATCAGGTGCAGCCGCCATGACTTAATTTTAATCTCTTCTGGTCTATTAAATCTTTCTCATTCTTAATCACCAACATGAAGGTGCTACAGGAAGTTAAGAAATACTGTATTTTATTAGCTCCCAACATACGTATTAACCATTATATTATCCCTTATTAAGGCAAATCAATAAATCATCAGAACAAGTATATAGCCCAGGTACTAGCTAAGAAACCTCATAGAATAGCTTTTAAGGGTAGTAGTGAATGAAAGCTTTTTGAACTACAAGAGATCAAACTAAATGTTTGCTTTTGTGAGGCTTGAGGGTTTGTTTTATTTTCTTTCCTTTTGGTCAAAGAAAGCTTTCTATTACAATTTTCACATCTTTCAAAATTTCTATTAGCTGGGTGATAAACATTTTGAAACGTGTCAAAACCAGAAGGCCAAATGATTCTGCAAATACATTCTTCACAAGTCTCAACATTCTAACAAAATTTGAAAACAATTCTAAGTAACTTTGAGCTGTAAGACTAATGAATACCAAAAAAGTGCCATAACAGAAACTGGTTACAGAATTTTCAAGAGCAGACAAGAAAACAAGCAAAGGAAATATTTTATTGTTAACCTTTCATTCTTAACCCTACTTCCTATATACAAGATCAGATTTGTGCTCTTTCAAAACTGTTATAGCTTTGTTATTCAAAGTATGTATTCAAAAGATGAGTGGAAGGAGCAACTAATAGGATCCAAGCAACATTTAACTCTCTAAACCTGCCACCAAATTTGAAAACCAAAACAGCACTCTGAAAAAAAAACAGGAATATTATTTTGGTATAGTTCATCTTTACCAAAGTACACAAGATAAAAATATATACAGGTGTAAGAAGAAACAGCACTTGGGATCAACTTGTTTTACTGTTATCTTCAGAAGCTTTTCTTTTCATAGGTAGCTTTTTTCCCCCTTGATGCTAACACACATAGCCCATCCATGTCTTTGAGGTACTTTTAATTTCAATTATACAGTTTAAGAATGTAAATCTTACATAAAACATATTTATGGATTATGCTCATGGCTGCTGGTAGGATTTTTTTGTTATGTTTTTAAAGGTAAATACAATACGTTTGCTCCGGTGATTTATAATCTAATGAAGCATAGATTTTTCAATGTAAGTATACTTTCATAGCTAAGGAACAAGCAAAAGCAAAAGTCACACACACACACACACACACACACACACACACACACACACACACACACACGAGAACAAAGGAAACACTAACGTGTGAACAGGAAATGAAGCAACTCTGTACACGTAAGTACCTTTTGGTGCCTCCAACGTAGGTGAAAGTAAAAGTGGAGTCTGAGTATCTGAAATCTGAAACGGGAAGTATTATTGTTCTATTTTATTACGTCTGGAGACATTTTTAAAAGCATAATTTTGCCCTTTTTTTTACGGGGGGGGAGATTGGTTGGCAGGAAAAGGAAGGCGTGGTGGAAAGGAGGAGGTTGCAAACACCTGAGCTCTCCATCCCATTTTGCTGAGGGGGGAAAGTGCGGGGGGCGGGGGGGGGGGAACGTGTGGTTTAAGGAGCTGGTGCAGCAGAAAAAGCCCCTAGCAACAAGTGCCCCGATGCTATGGCAACGGCGGGAATTTCCATTGTGCGAGGAGGAAGCAAGCAGCAACAAGCCAGGCTTTCTGCTTCTAAATAAGGCTCCAGTGTTGTTGGTTTCTTGTTTTTTTTGGGTGGGGGGCAGGGGGATGCAACGACAAGGTAGGGGCACTAGTAGGCTCCGGAGTCCCTGGCAGACGGATTGGAGGGTACTGATTTTAGTGGGAGGAGAACAGGGGCAAGGGGGACATCCAGATAAGTGCTCCCAGGGCCAGCGAGGAAAGGGGTACTGGGGTAAGGGAGGGCAGGGAACTGGGGGGGGGCGCGCGGGGGGCCGAGAACCCCAGTGGCTCGGAGCTGAAGGCAGCAGCCATGCCCAACAGCCGAACCGTGCCGAGCGGAGCCCCAGCTCCATTGCACGGCCGCCGCCAATCAATTCATTGCGCAAACCAACTCCTTCCAAGCCGCGAGTCTCGGCCGCCAGCTAATGGAACAGCGAACCCGGTGGTGGGCTTGGATGGTTCTCGGGATCTGGTGGTGGTGGTGGCGGCGGCTAAAAAGCTAGCGCATTGCTCCAGCAGCCTCAGCTCCTCGCTCCGAGCACCTTTCCTATCTGGTTTCTGATCCTGAATCTGGCTTCCCCAGACCGTGGGGTGAGAAGGACGGAATAAGCAGGGGGTGGGGTACGATGGGGGGGTGGAAGGGAGAAATACTGAACTCCCCCTCCCCCTCTTTCTGACACCCGATCTCGTTACTGTGACTGTTGTGAAATGACACCCGAAATGGGGACAAGCAGCCCCCAGGCAAACAAGTCGTGCTCAGAGAACGGGGTTGTAAAGCGGGTGGAAGGAGCTGGCACCGGGGTCTGAGGAGGAGGAGAAGGAGACAAAACTCACCTGCAAACAGGCAGTCCTTCTCTGCCTTGGACTTCTGTATCACAATGTCGATATCCTTCTGAATTCTCTCTTGCCTTGAACACATCCCCATGAAAGAAATCCCTGGAAAAAAAGCAGTCTCTGTTTCCAGCCCACCCCACCCCCCTTTCTTCTCCAGTTTTCGTAAATATTCAGTTAAAAATGAAACCTCTGGTTGAGGCAGGGATGAAGCAGAAGTGCTTTCTGAAGTGATCCAGGGTGAGACGGGAGGAGGGGGAGGTCGATTTTGCATTCCCAGATGTGACCGCCCAGCTGCCTCTTGCTGCTGTTTGATTCCAATTTCCTCTCCTGACAATAGATCCAGAGGATGGTGATGACACTGAGTCTCACTTTCTCCCTCCCCCGCCTGAACCACCAACAGTGGTGGGCTGCTAGTGCTGGTGATCGGAAGATAATAACAACGGTAATCACCGGCGATGGCAGGACCAGCTCGGAAAGACAGACAGGAAGCGACTCATTCTTTGACACACACACACATACACACCCTACACACACATGCATGCATGCACACACGCACGCACGCACCCACACTCACTTACACACATATACACATTCACACAGCCTGACGCTGAGACTGCTGCAGCTACGCCAAGCCGCAGACCCTCCCCTCTCTGCTACTGCTCACAGCCAGAGACACTCCGCCTGCCACACGTACAGACTGCCCGGCTGCTGCTGCTGGCTACTGTGTCTTTAATAGTAACTCCCCGTCAGGGCAAAGCCTGGTTTTCCCCACCTCAGACCTCCCTGTCTCCACCAGGGTGGGAGCTGGATAGGAACCTGTAGGTGGAATGCTGTCAGACTTATCAGTTCTCCTACCCTTGTCTCTTTCATGCATTTTACTCTACTTTGTCCCTAAATTGTGAGTAATAGGAATACTTGAACCAGAGTAAGTAGAATAAAGAAAAAATAAAAACCTGAAAAATACACAAACCTGCCCACATTACGCAAGGCAGAAGAATCCCTAAAACAACTTCAGCGTATTCCCTGCCTACCTAGAAGCTTTTTCTCCTACACAGCAGAGGCTACCGAACTCATCGTTCCACCAGGGGAAAACAGTTAATCCTCGTTGGAAATCCTTTTTTGCTACTCCCTTCTAGGGCCCATGTCTTTTTCTTCTCCGATTTGAGTACTCACCAGGGCTCTCCCACTATATTCCTTTGCCCATCACATTTCAAGAATACTGACCAATAGCTCTCTGGCACAAGAATGTTCTTATAATACAATGACCATATTTCAAACCCACATTGGAACTCTTGTTCTCCCAAATACTTTGATGGCTTTTGTTTCTTATTTATCTTATTTGTCATTTGGTTTATTAGACAAAATATCTTAAATCATGACAGCCCAGAAAATCCAGGACAGATGGTCATTGTATTTATAGGCCACCCCTCAGATTCAGGGCAGTCACTACTGCCCTCAAATACCCCTTGGGATAAACTTTTTCTTTGATTTCCCTAACCCAGTTTAGTCTGTTCTGTTTTATGCCCACTTAGTCTTTTGCCCTAAAGATTCCCTATTGTATTCAATCCCAAATAACCAAATCATACTTCAATTTCTTATGAACATAAGAAAATTAAAATGACCCATTCAGACCCGTAGTCTCACCTGTATTCTGTTCCTAACAATGACACAAGAAATGTTCAATGAAGGTGTAGCATTATCATTGTCCTCTGTGACCAAGAATCTTAGAATGTGAGAGAAAAGAGACCTTGTAGATGATTTAGGGCAATCTCATTTTGCAGATAAGAAAACATCAGCATCAAAAACATTCTATCTGCATAATGGCTTATTATGGAAAACCATCATCTATGCACTTAAGCCATTTTTGGAAGCTATTTTTATTTTTCACTGCTATCACTTCTTGGGGATGCAAATTCCCTAAGTCAGCCTTTCATTGGGTAAAGCACATTACTTCCTTAATTTGTCCTAAATTTAAATCTCAAGCTTCATGGGGTGCCCCCTGGTTCAACTGCACCAGGATTTGGTGAGCAAAGCTGAATTCATTCTATCTTTTACTCTGTTATATTTCAATCCTATGTTTTCATCTTTCCAGACTAAAAAGTCCAATTCATTTTAATCCTTCTTCATACAGTAGCTTTCAACCACTCTAGCAGTTCTGGTTTCACTTCTCCAATTCAGTTAGGACTATGTTGAAGTGACTGCAACTGTAGTCCAATGTTGATGATTTTATTTGAGGCATGCTTTACACAAAATACTTTTGTTCTTCCTTAGCAAATGTCCTTGCCCTCACCCACTCCTCCTGTCATCACGGGATATCTTAGTTTCTGCACTCACTTCTAAGACACAGGACTGGTACCTCATCCGACTTGATCTTCCTTCAGCTTTTGATGTTTCTGATGATCTGAATAATCTTTCTTGATTTATGTGACTTTCCTGTCTTCTTATTTTCTTCTTTCTTGTCTTACTTTTCCCTTCCCAGTTATCTTTGCTGGATCATTATCATTTTCCCATCCACTCAGCATGATTATTTTTGAAATAACTCTGTCTTGGGTCCTCTCCTTTTCATCCTCTTACACTCATGCTTTTGATAATCTCAGTCCCCTTGGGGTCAATTATTCCATCTACAAAGATTTACCAAATCTATATTTAGGGGCCTCTTTAAGCTGTTTCCCACCTTTCAGGCAAGTTTCCCGAGGGATAGCTACCCCAAGTTCAAGTTACTTCCTGATATTCTGCACTCCTAAAATATGTCTTGAGCCCCCACCAATGTACTTCCTTTTCAGCAGCCAGCTAAAAGATATAATTAGTTCAAAGCAAAGAAGTTAACTGGAATAGTATAGTAAGATTTATAATGGAAAATTCCCCATCTATAAATTTAGGACCCAGAGTAGAAAATGGGAAAAGATCACCCATGATGGGAATGTTTTGATATGCAGCTCACACTTAAACTGCAGGGTTCCTGATGTCTTGTAGTGTCCCCAAGATATGGTTGAAACATCTTGTCAAAGCATTGTGCATTGCTGGACTCAATGGGCACCCTCTCTTCAAGGTACATTGTTTTGCCAGTTGACCGTAGGGTTTGCTTGCCTCTAGTTTCTGCCTAAGCTGAAATTCTTGGCTAAAGAAACACAAAACTCTTTCCCCATCACCAGTAAGAAGCATCTTCAGGTCTGATCCCACCATTTCAGCTCTAAGGCCTTCCATCTGCCAAACAACAGGACCCTACTTCAGGTTTCAAACTTTCTCTCCTCGGGGTGTGTTTCCTAAATCCCAATTGGCTAGTCCATGGTCTCTGCCCATCTTCATATACTTTCATAACCCAATGACATGAAAATAGGCCACTCAGTCTCACTCCTTTTATAATCTAAAAATGTGCCACACAAAGTTTAAGGCCTTTACAAGCTGCAAAGAGGCCATTCTAAGTTCATGCCTATATATGGCAGCATTCTCTGTTCTGTAGATACAGATATGTCTCCAAGTATCTAATCATCTGTCTATATATCTACACACTATAGATGGGGAAGGAAGAAAAGGGAGAGAAAAGAATAGACATTAATATAGCACCTACTGTGTGCCATTGTGCCAGCTGCTATTTACAAATACTGTCAGGCATGTACACATACATATATACCCACAAAATTTTAGGGCTAACGATGCTTTCTGAGCTAGATCTCCCTAGCCTAATTATTTTTCCTGAACTCTAGTCCAGCATCATTATTTGCTAATCATTGCCATCTGTGTATCCCATCTTGTATCTTTTGATAGGACCGAAATTTGCCTGAAACTTCTTTCCTCCTACCCACAACTTGGGGAGATATTACCTGAAAGAAGACAAAGCTGGGGCCTGATTGGCCTCTGTTTCCCAGACTTAGCTCTCTGGTCATCTACGGGCATAGTGTCCCAATTATATGTAGTCTACATCTCTCAGACTTGGTGGATGCCTAAGACGATGCAAATTGCCATAACCTGATGACTTACTGACAAGACATATTTTTGGATGAGGGAGGCTGCATTCAGGAAAACTAGTATCACTATAGCTTTGTTAGACATTCTTGCGGTGTTAGGGCAAAGTAAACTTCCTTTGTTAAATGTTCAGTGGCTTGGTAGTGCCTCATTTCATCCCAGTATTGAACCTGAACTATTATTAGAGCTTGGCCTCCAACATTTGGTGTAATTTCAGTAGGTTAGGAGGAGTTGAGATCATTCCATAGCTCATATCATGGTTGAGTTGGGGGAAGAATCCTGCAAAGATTGAGGAAGATAGTGGAGGAGGAAGGAAGGTGGGACAATGCATGGCTCCCTTTCCCTCCGCATCTGAGTATGGAGAGTCCTCTTAGTGGAGTGGGGAGCAGGTTCCCTCTCAGGTAGAGAGTGATGAGCTTGGTAGATGCTTGAGAGGATGCTTGGACAGGTAAAGAAAGAACCAAGATGAGCAGTACTAGGATCTTGTTGACTGTTCTGCATAAGTTGGATTGTCATTTTATTAAATTCAAGTAAACTGGGTCAGTGTATTGAGCAGCTAGAGATAAGAGCTCTCAGTTTTCAGGGACCATGCAATGATCATGCAAAAGAAGAGATTTCTACTGTTAGGGGTACAGTGAGGAGCCCCAGCCCGAGACCCACCCTATATTTTCTAACAGGAATTCAGCTGTGCTGACACAGGAATCTTGGGACTGGTGAAGAGCAAGTTAGTTCAGAAACTGGAGAATTTCCACCCAAGATAAGAAAGCTTCAGGCTGATCCTGTCACTAATTCTAAGAGGAAGGTAGATAACTCCCAGCCCAGGAGGAGTAGCATCTAGGGAAGGAGCATAGAGTCTAGGGCCTAGGGCCTAGACCCTCAGGGGAAGAAGTAGATAAGACAGAAGTTCAAACTGAAAATTGTGGAGTGCCCTAGAGCAAAGTCACATGTAGGTGTGTACTTCCATAGCCTGGGGGAACTCTCTGAGCAAGTCCTTTAAAGAGGCAACTAAATTTATTAGAGCCTCAGGAGAAGGAATGATCTTTGTCCCTTTTTAGGTAAAAGAGGGAGTTAATTGTATGGAGGGTGGGGAAGGGGGGAGGGTTCCTGCAGGAAATGGGTTTGAATGATTATTTACGTACTCCACCTCAAGCCTTGAAATGCCCTATGCCTGCCTCCTTCCTTCCCTTTCTCCCAACCAGCATCAGGTTTAATTAAGTCCTGCCTTCTGGATAGAACTCAACCTGAAAGGCTACAGACCTTAGCTAAGGGTCTTCCTAACACACAGTCTTAACAGGTATGGGCTGCTTAAGTTCTTAAATTTGAGCAGGAGGTCAGGACAGTTGTGACCTGGGCAAATATTTCTGTCAATACAAATAGACAC